CCACCTTGATCCTCCACCCCTGGAAATTCACAGTGGAGGAAAGTCATTCTCATTAGCCGTTATGCTATATGCATTTCCAACGTCCATGTAACAAGCGACGTGGCCTCTGTTACTCCTAATCTTTATAACAGACCACCTCACCCCACCTGCAGGCTCAGTGTCACTGGAACTCCAGGACCAACCCGAATCCTAGGTAGAACATAAAGCGCTCCATAGCTTCTCTGGCCTAACATGTAAAACAGAGCCAGACTTTTCCAAACTTCACAGCCCCCAAAAACATATGCAATCTTAGCTGTGGGTAACAGCCCATATTTGGCCTTCACCTAGACTGCTCTCCAGTAAGACCACTAAACCCAATATTCCAAATTCGTGTCTCTTTTGTATTTTAATCTTCTTGCTTTGGGGCCATAGTTTCTATAGGCCCGTGGTCTGACAACCTGTTTCAGGTTACTTCTGACCCTACTTGGACCTTAACCAATAGGTTCCAGCACTGGGATTTTCTTTATTCTCCCTTAATTCCCACCTTCTGCTTCAATCCCTGAAACTTAGTGTGCATGTCTCCTTGGCTCTTAGACCTTCATTTCTTTAGTCTTCCCGACCGTTACCTGCTCCTAAAACCAGTCTGCATGACTGAATCTCAATTTCTAGACCCCCCTGGGTCTTCTCTGCCCAAATCTCTACCTATTATATGATAATTGATTTCCCCCAAGCCATTTAGACAATTCTGGTAACTCATGGCCATCTTCCTTTCAATGTCCCCCCCCCCCCATTTAAACTCCAGTGAGAGACAATCAAGAACTCATGAATACATATATATTTATTTAATTCATAATATAGCATTTTGGATGGGCTGGGATATTTTAGAGGGATGAGGCTGTGTAATAATCTGCAGATGCTCAGATTTTGCTAGGAGAGACACTATTGGTCCAGAGGTCCCAGTACAAACAAGCCTGGGATAAAATATTTGATAAAAAATAGTCTGACATTAGTCTAATAAATATTCTAGCCAACAACAACAGATTATATGTCTGAAGATGGCCGACCAGACCGTAAAAGTCAGTTTTACCTGACCTGATGGCAGTCAACCTGGCCAACCTATAATACACGGCCAAATACAGCCAATGGCTCTGAGGCTGCAATTGGCTTCAGGGATTGAAATAAGCATGGGAATGGTTTTATCCGCCAGCCTCACATTCTCCATTCTGTAGAGGAAAGGGTATCAAATATTTGAGCTTATCAAAAAGTCCATCCATGGATTGCTCTGTTCAGGTAGTCATATATAAATATGTAAACCATGGAAGCTTAGAAAATTCACCTAGGGTGTTTTTAGCTGAAAAGAACATATAAGTGATTTTGCTGAAATCTGAATTTCATTGCATCCAAAGTTACACAATGGGATTACATGATAAAAACACATACAGATGCAGGAATCCTTACTTACAAGTAGTCACAACTCCAATGTGGCATTAAAATTTCTTTCATATTCTCAAAACAGGTTTAACTTTATTTTGATTATTTTTGTGCTTTCTTCAATAAGACAATATAAAAAGTGGAAACAAGCATAAATTGCAGACAGAAAGAATAATTTGCTAGCAGAAAGGATTGTAGGAGAATAGGTTGAGTAGGGCAACAACAATGAAAAACTGAAGATGTCACCTTCCTTGAAGATGTTAAATACAGGTGCTATTCCTTTTGTCCAACTGGGTTCAGCTAGAGGTAGTCAATGACTTCTCTAAAGGTCCCTGGCATTGCCGTTACCTAGGAAAGCCTTGAAGTATCTGGGACCTACCATACCCCCACTGAGTACTTTACCACCATGTTGTTTCTTGAAGAGTACTTTCTGTTATTTGGCTCAGAAACTTCATTGCTTACCTCAAACCCAGTTTAATTTCCAACATTATTCAGTAGGCTAAGCTCTGAGTGATTTGGGGCTATAACCAAAACTTAAATCCATCTTCAAAGAATGAAGTTCAAAAAGATTGAAAAGTTATTGCAAAGAATGGTGCCACATGCTCTAGACAATTCCCCAAGTTAACATCCAAAGGGCTTTCCAGGCAAAAGACATTTATATGCATGAGTCCCGGGACATTTGCAAAATAATACCAGTATAGCCCAAATGGAGAAGTAACCAAGCTTTTCTGCCCAGGAAGTAACAAACACCAGTATGGATATCAGAGTACAACAGGGAAACTGTTGATAATTCATCCGTTCGTTCATACATTCATTCAATAAACATTGGTCAGGCAGTTAGTCTGTTGCACACACCATGCCAAGTATTAAAAATACAACAACAACAAAAGACACAGTCCCTGCCCTCAAGGTATTCACAGTCTAGTAGGGAAGATGATCGTTATACATTAGACTTTTGTGTGCATCAGAATCACCTGGGAACTTGTTGAAAATGTAAAATTCCACTTATGCGCCCAGATATTCTAAGTAGATGAGGAGTGGGGGCCTAGGAATCAACTGTTTTAACAAACACCAGAGATGACTCTAACAGGTGGTCTGAGGACCACATTTTGAAAAAAACACTGCTACACAGCGTGATTATTGCTGAGAAGGGAGGAACACTCAGGGTGCCTTGGGAGCTCAGAAAAGAACATGCCCCAGGCCAGGGCGTTAGGAGTTAATCTGGCTGAGGGAGTCGGGTGGGGAAAGGTAGTCTAGGCTAGGGTCAAAAGTAAGGTGGGAAAATTCAAGGTTTGTCCCAGGCCACTAAAACCTAAAGGGCACAAAAAAAAAAAAAAGGGGGAGTAGCTTGGGAGACCCAAGGATCAGGTAAAGTAAATTGGTTGGGGCGGAGGTGGAGTGTTCTGCATTTATACCATCTTCACACTTTTCCCTTAATTTAAGAACAATTCCTGTTTACTCTGGGCATCAAAACTGTTAATGTCTCCATCCCAGACCCAGAGAACAACCCACGTGAGTCGTTGACCTTGTCCAGAGTAACAAATGTAAGGAGGGAAATGGCAAAAGGTGAAGCTAGGAAAGCCAACAGGCACTTGAAAAGCCAAACCAATTGTAAATGGGACCTTCGACTGAATAATATGGGAGCCAGTGAGAGGTTTTAGGAAGGGGAGTGGGGAACCACTTGTGTTTAAAAACTGGGGGATAAGCCCTAGAGGAGAGACCAGAGTAACTTAGAAATGAAAGGCATACATTGTAAAGCACCGCTACACTGTATTGGGGCTGGGGCTGGGAAGAGGAGGTTAATATTTGTTGTGCGCTTCACTAAATGCCAGGTGCTGTGCTAGGCAGTTTACATGTGCTATCTTTTTAAATCTTTGCAACAGCCTTGTGAGGTAGGTATTATTTTATGGAAGAGGAAACAGAGGCTCAGAGAAGCGAAGTAACTTACCCTAGGTCCCACCGCTAGTAAATGGCAGAAGAACTAGGATTATTTAGTCCAAAGTGCTATTTCCCAGCACTGTTGGATCTTACTGAGGTTGCTCACTTCCTAATCAACAGAGATTACATACGGATTTTTAAACCAAAAAAGCGGGCTTTGCTACCAGATACGTAAGTTTGAGCCTGCCATCTGTACCTGCATCAGTCTTGCTTTCCATGTTAGGTGAACAAACAATACAAAGCTGTTATTTAAGGGGTTTACATAGATTCTTCGTCTCTCCTACAGAATAGTAAGGCATTTGACAGCAAGGGACTGTGTTTTATCAATATATCGGCAGCAGAGCGGTACCCAGCATGTAGTAGTTTGTTGAATGAATTAATGAATGAACGTCCACCAAGGCGGTGGAAAGGAAGAGGGGTGAAGTTTTGGCATTGTTTCAAGGCTCCAATCTGGTGGCTTGTTACAGCTACCACTTTGTACAAAAGTAGTCTTTTCACAGCTCCCAAGAAGTAGACTCCTTGAAGCCTGGAGACTCCTTTCTCCTGGGAAGGAGAAAGCTCTGGTTCTGACATCCCCAATCCCTGCAGTGAAAGTGACAAAAGCACAGACCATAAAACTTGCTGCCCCTCAATGACAGTGATGACAAACTGCATTTGCCATGAAGGGTTGGCTAAGCAGATGAATAGTGTAAACAAGATTGCAAGAGGAATGAGTATTTAACCTGTTTAAGAAAACAGACTGTTGGCAGGCATTCTGAAGCACTCAGGAAGTGTTTTATCAGAAAATACAATTGCATTTATATGCAAATAGTTGTTGCAGCTAGAACACTCCACTCTCAAGGATTAAGTAAATAAAGTTCCTAAAGAACATCCATTATTATGCAACTCTTTTTTTTTTTAGCCTAATTCTAGTAAGTGTATGTACTTGAGAGTAATAAAACTGTATTTCTTTGAATATTCTGTGAAGAATTTTTAACAGTTCAGATAGCCCTCCTCCATTAGGTAGCCTCAGTGAAACTGCGCTACACGTAATGCTTGTACTTGGATCAATGTTCTATCCAGCGCTAGTGGCTCTCATGCAATCTTGTCCCCTAATCTCTCCTACTCAAGTTTTGAGCTCTTCCCACCATCTATGTCATTATTGCATGTGTGTGTGACACGAGGGAGAATGGGAGGGATGAATGCAGGGAGCGGGGGGAGAATGTTGCCTGATTTTGATGTTCCCTTTAGGGGACAAAAATGGACAATATAATTTCTTTTCCCTTCCAGTATATTTCTCACTCAAATGAGCAAATCAAAAAAAATTATTATGTATATATAATATATATAAAATGAATAAATATGTATTATATATTCATTTTATAATTATATATACACATTTGTGTTTTTACTTTACAATCAATCCTTGATCGTAGGTTTTTATAAAAAACTACATATAATACGTGATCATCTGATCCTTCAAAATTCTACTTGGCCAAATTGGCCAGTACTAGAGAGGCTGACACCCCACACACACCTTTCCTGGCCGCTAGCCCCTTGTTCAGAGCATCTTTCTACTTTATTGACTTAGAATTGTCCTAATTCCTTCCAGTATCATTTAGATTGCTAAATCACGGGGAATTTTGAATTCTCCAGTGATGAGAGGTGTTCTCCAGATTTCTCCAATGGCTTGACCCCAGACTACTTGGAAAATTTGCTCGGAGAAACTAAATACATTAATTCAGATACAAGCTTTAGTGCACGAAAATTAAATCTATAATACCTAGTTATTCTGGATGCTTCGGATGAACTTTATTTTGTATCTTGTATATTGGACACTAACTGAGGTTTAGGAAGGGAAGACTGCTGAACTGGAGAGCCAGTGAATTCTACGCTCTCTTGAAACTTAATGGCAAGCTTTCATCCCAGAAACATAAGGGGATTCTTGAGGCCTGCAGTTGCATTCCTGCCGCTCAGGGTAATCAATAAAATCTGGGGCAGGCAAGCCAGACAGGATCATTAAGGATTTGTTCCAGATTGTGAATGTTGGACAAACTGGAAGAATGAAGGTCACATCAAAAGTATGAAGATGGAGAGAGTTAGCTGGGTCATAGAAAGACAGCATGTTGTTGTCATAATCCAGAAGGACACCGAGACGCTTCAACTGTGGGGGCACATCCACCAGCATTTCTTTGTTGTTATGTCTCACTACAAAGTTACTATTGCATCGAGAGAAGACCCATGAGGAGGCATTCTTGCCAATCCATTCATTCTTGGGAGCGGATTTGTAGGCAATGCCAATTGCATACCTGTGAGACAGTGGAAAGGAGAAAAGAAATAAACATTTGTTAATGATCTGAGTTAGGCTAGACACCATATGGGATACGCAAGAAACTAATACATGCTTCTTCCTTTACTAAATAGTTTACATTTAGATCCATAATGTCGATAGCACTGGAGCTTTACAGAGTCAGAAATTAGAGTGTTGTAGTAATTTCCAACTCTAAACCCAGTATATTTCCCATTATTTTTTTAAAAGCTGGCCAGTTTTTCTAGGACTGGTTTTCATCACATGCCTTTTAACTCTGACTTACTGGTACTATGTTTGTGCTATGGAACTGAATCTCCCAGGAACCTAACGGTGGGAGAAAGGAGAAGAGAAATTAAGTGGGATCCACTCACCATGTTGAGGACCCCATGACCACCTCCCAGTAGTGGCAGCCACTGTCAATGAATATATTTCCTGCTGCCCCATAGCACCCTGTGCCACTAAACCTCTCTGGGGTATGGCTCTTCTTCAGAGAGCTTTCATCTTTCTCCATCTGCAGCCCATCATTGGAGATCTTCAACTTCTTGTGAGTCATTTTGGGATCTAGTTTAAAGGGTTGGCCTGAAAAAAGTAGAAAAAAATGCATGAGAAAATACTTAAGAATTCCATCTTTGTCCTTCAGGACTATCGCTACCAGGAGATTCTTGATATGATGCTCATTGGTGGACCAGTGCAAGTTAGAGCTATTTGGATTATATTAAGGAAGTAGGCCTGAAGCCACCCTTTTCAATAAAATAGGAATAAACTGATCCCCACTTGATATGTTATCAAATTAAAAGGGTCTCATGTTCTCAAATGTGTTCTGTACTCTGCTTGATTTCAGTGGGTGAGGCAAAGTAAGGGGAACTGATGAGGTAATTGCTGGTTGCTGACAAAACGAAAAAAGAAAACAAACCCAGTAATGACCATCTTTTTACCCTCTTACAATTGGGATATAAATAACATGTGATTAGGTGACTTTGGTAGAGTGACTGTTGTTGCATCATCATCAACGGTCAAGAGAAATCATTTGTCGTGTAGAGTCACTTGCAACAGAGGATTCCTGATAACCATATGACAAAACAAGTTACTAGAAGCCAACTAGAAGCTGTATTATACAACATGAGTCTGCAGCGGACACTGCTGGTGAACACAACACCCATTCCCTACTTTTTCTCTTCGACCCACTTTCACTTACAGCAGCCCAAAAAGCTAAATATTCAAGCTCCTACCCTCTCTTGCTGCTAGAGGTGGCTAATAAGGTGGAAGTAGAGGGAAACAGAGGTCAGACAGGCTTGGGGACACTTCTGAAAAGTGCCTGTCTTCCTCTCATAAAAGGAAATATGACATCTGGAGGTTGCAATGGCCATACTGTGACCATGTGACAATAAGCCAGTACACAAAGGGAGAAGGAGCTTGGGTCTGTCAGAACATTACAGAATGAGCTACCACACTAGCCCCGAACTGCCTACGTTCAAGCTTCTTGCTATGTGAGAAAGAGAAAAATATACTATGTGTTAAGCTAAGATAGTTGGGTTTTCAGTCTTCTGCAGCCAGAAACATTCCTAAGACGTATGGCTTCCCTACAAAAGGATTCCACCAGATCATTGCAAATCAGGACTGTTTGACACAACTGTTCCGCACCCATGGGATGGGGTGTAGAGGAAAAAATCTTGGCTAACATCTTTCCCAAACACCAGCTACTACTACATATATTTTGTATATATCTTTGTGGTCACGTATCTCCCAGGGGCACCAACAGACCTCATGGCCAAAGCATCAACTAAAACGGTAAAGCTCCTCTACCCAGTGCCTCTGCTCTCTGGCACTGCTGTGGGTGCCTGCTCAGGCTAGATGTACTCCCTGGCATGAAGGGGAAAATGGATCTCTCCTTTTGGGATCACCATAACATACTATTTGTTTTTAGTCGGGTAGGTTCACTGTTCCGGCTGCCTGCTTGGTTTATGGCTTTAACGATGAAGATGTAGCGTGTCCCGCTCTGAAGTCCATGCACTGTGTAGTGGTTCTGTTTAATGTTGGGCACAATCATCCAGCTATCCACTGAATTATACAAGCCTATAAGGTAGGGAAAGACAAGGACATTAACTGGCAGGTAGTAGAGACAGGATGAGAGAAGCACACTGAAAATTTCATCAAAAGCCCCCATGACCATCAAAGAAAAGGTTAATTTCATTTCATTTTCTTTTGAGTCCCAGGAGACAGAGTGAGATAAACATCTTCTGTTTCCTTTCTCCCACGGAGCTAGGCTTATGCCAGGCTCCTTGCCTCTGGCAATTGAATGTCACCACTAGTTAGGGTTAGGTTGCATCAATTTTCAGCACAATAATATAGGAAAGGCCACTATACAAAAAAAAAAAAAAAAAAGCACAGAATCACCACTTTTATGGAGTCTCCGGATCTTTACGTCAAAGGTCCAATCCCCTGAGAGCTGAGTCTAGCCTCATGTGGGTGGGGCAGTCCCATGCAGAGTGTGGAACACGGAATCTCAGAGCCAAAAGGACACCTACATGCCATGGTTCTGTCCTTTTACAAAGGGGAAGCTAAGATTGAGAGAAGAAAGGTGACTTGCCCAAGGCCACAGACACATGGTAATGGTGCTGAGAGTATAACCCTGGTCTCTTTAACCCTAGGCCAGTGTTCTCTCCGCTCACAACGCATGGGGTAGGCAGCAGTGTTCCTTGGTCTCTGCAAGGTAGTGAAGTTTTCAGGACTTATGGCTCATCTCACTCTCCCCATCCTTACCCTTACTTCTCAATCTAACTGGGCTCCGAGGTATCATAGGGAAGCTGAGGGGGTGGCATGATAACCAAAGCAAAATTGCCGTCTCCCCACTTGGCACCATCCGTCTTTTGCTCCTTCCTGGTTCCAAAATTCATTCGAAGTTGGGGGGTCCAGGAACACAAGGTTGCCTGGAACCTTCTTCCCTCCCAAGCTGAGATCTAGGTTTCTGATTTTGAAACTCTGTAGACCATAAACGTTGACTTAAACTGAGAAAAATGCACATAATTAAAAACACATACTTGGCTAACTGTTAGTAAGAGAGGGGTTGACGTTCTTGTTTGAGAATTATCTAGGCTTCTTTCTTCTGTTACCTGCCTTTTAATCAGTTTAGTGCTTTTTAACCACAATTCTAACAAAGCGTGGAAAGGAATGGGCAAGGAAAATGAACAGTGAATGTAGTCACTTCTATGCAGCCCTAGTGAAGGATTTAGTGACGTTGAAAATGAAAAGTAATTGTGAGTGGTTTGAAAGAGATCTGATCATGAGGGTTTTATAACTAATTTGGTGGAAGGTTGAAAAAGTCTAAAATAAAACTAGAAAAAGAAGAATGGAGGGCAAACAGATATGCTAGAAAAAGAATAACTGGTGAAGACGCTCAGCTATGCTCATGAAAAGACAATAAGGATAAGGGCCAGGAATAATGTTTGAGGGCTTGGTTAGCTATGTGCCGATTCACAGTATGAATCATAGACTGCACACTAGAGTTTAATTCAAAAAGGGAAATAAATGGTCTTTCAGGTATACTTATAACAATACAAAACAAAAACCAAACTTCACGATGAAGTACTATGTAGCTATGAAGGAAGTATGAAGAGTGGGATGCCTGGGTGGCTCAGTCACTTAAGCATCTGAGTCTTGATTTCAGCTCATGTCATGATCCCACGGTTTGTAAGATCGAGCCTCACGTTGGGCCCCATGCTGACAGCGTGGAGCCTGATTGGATTCTCTCTCTCCTTCTCTCCCTGCCCCTCCCTTGGGCTCTCTCTCTCTCAAAATAAATAAATAAGATTTAAAAAAGAATGAAGAAGATCTCTGTTAACTGATACTGAGTGATTTCCAGGGTTTACTGTTAATCAGAAAAAAAGCAAATTGCCAAAGAGCATGCATATATAGTGTACACTTTTTTTTGCAAGAACAAAAGGCAAATAAGGGAGCATACGTATATCTGCTTGTTTACAAAACACCAATAACAATAGGAAGGAAAAACCAGAAAATATTGTAGTTGGTTACCTACAAGGGATGGGGGGAAGGCATGGAATTAAAAAGATAGGAGTGAGAATGACGCTTCTTTTTTTTAATGTTTATTTTTGAGAGAGAGAGAGAGAGAAAGAGAGAGCGTGAACAGGGGAAGGGCAGAAAGAGAGGGAGACACAGAACTCTAAGCAGGCTCCACGCTCTGAGCTGTCAGCACAGAGCCTGATGTGGGGCTCGAACCCACAAACTGTGAGATCACGACCTGAGCCGAAGTCAATACACTCAACTGACTGAGCCACCCAGGGGCCCCAATAATGACACTTCTTTGAATACACTTTTTTGTATCGGTATCCCTTTTGGAAACACACTGCTGTTTCACAAATTCAGAAAATTAAAATTAAATCAATATGAATGGGAAGAGCAGGGACCTAGACCAAAGGCAAACTGAAGCAAATGAACCCAACTGCATTTCAAATGAAAAACAGCCATACCAAATGCATGGGGGCAGGGGGAGAACTGAAAACAAATCCTGAACTATTGTTTGTTTTTGTAGTGGCATGGGCAAAGCCCTTCTGGAACTGTTAGATCTGTTATGGGATAAAGCAAACGAGTACATGTGTTGATGGTGGGAGCCAAGGTTCTCATTGTGGAAGTAGGAATGTACAAATATCGAATGGGGGAAGGCAACAAAGAATGTGTGGACATGGGTTGGAATTAGAGGCATTGGTATGAACTCATGATTTCTATATGTGTGTGTGGGCATCCATATGTGCACGGATGTTAAGTATGTATATTATGTGTGTGCATATGTATAGTGCATGGGCATATATGTGTATTTCTAGTATCCAGATCTTATTCTCTAATTACATTCACCAAATAAAAGTAACCAAGGTTCCTTGGAGAAATGGCTGATTTCAAGGCTGGGGCAGGATAAGGTCAAAACGACCTTAGGATCTTTTGTTATGCTGGAAAATAAAGAAGTATTCAAGAAAATTATGGGAGACTATAAGAACCCAGGAGTCAGCTTCAAAGCCTTACTGGTTAAACCTGGACAACGTGAGCATCAAAATAAGCAAGGGCAGTTAAGAATTACAAACCATTGAAAAGAGAATTTACGAGGCCATACTGCTAAGTACATAAACAGAGGGTAGGGCTTTGGTTTACAGTAGAATGTAGAGGGTCAACTTGTAAATGTGGGAGGGGATCTTCCTTTGGAAAATTATCATTTTGTAATCATCAGAGCAAAGACTGGATCAGGCAAGGATTTTTGATTGGTGCTAAAATAAGAGTGGGGGTGAGATGGTTTTGACGAGGAAGCAGGATATTTTCATTGTTTCAAAGTTATCACCATGCAGATTGCTTATTGGTCGCAAAAGGTAAATAGTAACTACAGGGAGAAGAAATCTGGCAACACCCTTGACCCGCTGAACAAAATTAGCATCACCAACGAAGGGCAAGTGGACATTATGTGCCTCCAGATGCGATGTCCTAAGGAGGACAGATGTCCCTTGTAGAATTCCAGCCATGAATGCAGAGTCTGAATATATATCATGAGGAAATTTCAGATAAACCCCAAATAAGGGATAGCATAATAAAGAAACAAAAGGACATTTTAAGAAAGTCTCTCAGTGTCGTTAAAGACAAAGAAAGGCTGACAAAGTAAGTGTTCCAGATTAAAGGAGGCTACAGAGGGGGCACCCGACTGGCTCAAATGGTGGAGCATGTGAGTCTTGATCTCAGGGTTGTAAGTTTGAGCCCCACGTTGAGTGTGGAGATTACTTAAAAATAAAGTTTAAAGGTGTCTGGGTGGCTCAGTCAGTTAAGCATCTGATTTCGGCTCAGGTCATGATCTCATAGTTCGTGGGTTCGAACCCTGCATTGGGCTCCGCACTGACAGCTCAGAGCCTGGAGCGTGCTTCAGATCCTGTCTCCCTCTCTCTCTTCCCCTCCCCCAGTAGTGCCCTTTGTCTCTCTCTCTCTCTAAAATAAATAAACTTAAAAAAATGTTTTAATAAATTAAAAAAAAATAAAGGAGGCTACAGATAAGACAATTAAATGCAACACCCAATCCTTGACTCTAAAGGACAATATTGAATCCTTCACATTATAAAGGATATTATTGGGTCAACTGTCAATTGGAATGTGAATAATGGATCAGAAAAAGTACTGTATCAAATCTCTTAAAGTTGATAACTGTACTGTGGTTATGTATGAGTTTCCTTATCTTAGAAAACTTAACACTGAATAATTTAGGGGTAAAAGGTCATGATGCATGCAATTTACTCTCAAATGGTTCAGAAATAAATAGAGAGAGACAGGGAATGCTAGAAAATGATAAAGGAAATGAGACAACGTGTTGACAAGTGGATGAATCTGGGCAAAGAGCATATGGGCATTCTTTGTGATACTCTTACAATTTTTCCAGTTCTACATTTTAAAAAGGTAAATATAGGATTCTCTGGGTATCACGGAGACGTGGTGAGATGGGGTTTATGACTGAATTATGGTAATGGAAATATACACCTTGTTCCAAAGGGAAATACCACAATATGGAAATCCATGAAGCTGAGTATAAGTGTGTGGTGGAGAACATTTGCATGGAAATGAAAAGGAGAGGAAATCAAAGTTTTATCTTTGTGGCAATATGTTAGAGACTGCCTGGCCAAACAGAATATAGTCAGTGCTCTCATAATGCAAATCACAGAACTGAAATGGAGGAAAGATATACAGTAATGGGGGAAGACAGTCAGGTAAACAAGTATCTGTTTGGATTCAGCTAACAGAATCATCTGAAACATCATTGGCTTGTGACCATTCCAAATCTTAGATGATGTGGGGAGATAGTTAAGAGATGAAGGGAGAAAGCTGAAAAAAAGATAAGGGGACTATGTCTCCAGACAAAATACTAAGCAACAAGGAAGAAATTTCTGGTTAAAGAAAATGTGAAGTTGGACTATTTTAAGATTCCTCATATAAATGGTATCATGTAGTATTTGTCCTTCTGTGTCTGGCTTATTTCACTTAGCACAGTGCCCTCCGGGTTCACCCATGTTGTCACACATGGCAGAATTTCCTTCTTTTTTAGGGCTGAATTATATTTTATTGTATGGATATACCACATTTTCTTTATCCATTGATCTGTTGATGGACAACTTTTTGTATGTCAATTATATCTCAATAAAGTAGTTTAAGAAAAGAGAAAATGTGGAAAAAACCTCAAGGGAAAAGCAGCTCTCAGAGTTCAAGTTCAATCAACAGTGGCAGAATAATGATAGGCCAGACCAACAGATAGGACTGAGACCTTGAATTTTCATAAATATTCATATTCATATACCCAGTAAAAATAGTTTCATCTTATCTGCCTGTTACCAGACAAAATTTTGCTCAGGGCCTCTCTGCCCTTGTCCCTGCCATATTCCACTTTACTATTTATGATTGGAAGAAGACATAGAAGGCAGGCTGGGAAGGCAGAAACTAGATTTAAAAGGATTTTGGCAAGTTCAAATGTGGAGTCACAGCTAACCAGACGTAATAGGGATGAACTCAAGGTGTTGTATTTCAGTTTAGACAATCAACTGTATAGGAACAGGATTTTGAAACACCTAGGGATTTCAACGGACTACATGCTCAATAGTCAACACAGGCAATGTGACTACAGGAATAAAAAGGCTTGGGGTGGGGGACATCAGCTAATGTACAAGACAAATAATCCAGCTACCCTCCGTGGTGGTCAGACCACTTTTGGAGTACTGTTTTCACTTTTTTGACAGCAAAATTTCTGACAAACTGAGTGTGTTCCTGAAAAGGATACCATGATGGTAAAGCGTCTGAAACCAGGTCACATGAGGAGCAAGTCAAAGACCTGAGGATATTTAGCCTGGAAAAGAGAAAATTTAGAAGGGACATATATGAGAGCTACGTAAAATGGTCTGAAGACCTGTAATGTGAGATGGATTAGGTTTACTAGCGAGTCATAAAAGGGCAGGATTAGGACAAATTGGTAGCTATGGGTTTCATTCAAGAAAACATTAAGCTTGAAGCCTGACAGGCTCGGGTTCAAATCCTGACTCCATCGGTTTGTAGCTCTGTGACCTTGAGCAACTCATTTATCTTGAACTTCAGCTTCTTCATCTACAAAACAGAATTAATATCAACTATTTCATATGGCTAAGGAAGACTTCATGAGGACTCAGTGGGAGTGTTTGTAAATGACAAAGCATAACGCACGTACACATTGTTATTGTCATTATTAGTTACTAGGAGGGAGAGTTAGGCCTTTTATAGGGACGCACTGACAATTATTCATAGCTGCACAACTGAATGAGTTATTTTGTTAGAAGTGAGCTACTCATCACTGGAAATGTTCCAGTAGAGACAGGACAATCATCTACTGGGCGTCTGGTAGAATGGAAGAAGATTAGCTTAAATGACTTCTAAGGTTCCTTCCAGTTCTAAGGACAATCATCTACTGGGTGTCTGGTAGAATGGAAGATTAGCTTAAATGACTTCTAAGGTTCCTTCCAATTCTAAGGTGCTATGATCCTGTTATTATTAAGAATTATCCATTAAGCTCTTCTTTACGGAGGACGATATATCTTTGAAAATAGGGAGGACAGCCTTTAGATCTTTGTTACTTCTTGAACTTATTTCTCAACTCCCAGGAGACCACTGCTCTCCCCATCTCAGGAAGGAGGAGCACAGCTGCTGGCTGTAAGCCTTTCCAGAGCAGGAGAGACAAGTGCAGAAAAGCATGTCATGGAGGCCTTAGAGTCTATGACTCCACCACCTGGAAAAAATACCTAGGAATACAGCTACCCAAGCCAAGTGGCTTAGGTTGGAGCTGCACGAGGCAAGTGTTTTTAGAAATGTGACCCCCAGTGTCCTTTGACCTCCCCACCCCAGCATGTGGCCCAGAATCGTTACAGAACCAAAAAGGGAAGCCTATTGGGAGGGTTTCGTTGGGAAAATTCCTCTCATGGGCCTGTGAAGTCAGACACAGAAGCACAAGCACAGAGGTCAAAGAAAATACTTATTTGCAGCTGTATGGATGCAACCTCAGGGTAGGAATCCATTCCAGCCTAGAATCTAGTTTTAATTCTGCTTTCCAGTTCTCCCCAGCGCATGGAGGGGAACTTGCAGCTGGACCCCTCCAGTCTGGCAATCAATGCATCAGGGGTCTACTCTGCTGTGTCTTGTTCCAATTCATCAGGAGGAGAAACCATAACGTGGGAGCCGAATGACTGCTTTTTGACCATCTTTCATCTTATGGCCCACTGACACATTTTTGTATTTGGTGTAATTCTTGGAGGAAAGGGACAAGGGGTACAGTGACAGATGCAGGAGGCTTGTCACTATAGTCGCTGATACAAATTGGTGTGCTAAAGGAAGTAGTAATCTTTGAACATAGCATATTTTACCATGATAATGAAGTGGAAGAAGAGTCAAGGAGAGAGATGTTCACACACAGAGGATCAGCAATGATGGTGGCTTAGCTACCCAGGAATGAATTCTGAGCTGTGTTCTGACTCTCAGAGAGAGTGGAGTGACATGAATTAACTGAGGAAAGGCTAAGGAGTACATAAACAAATGGGAGCGGCCCCAGTGACTGCCCAGCAAGGAAATACACAACTTGCTAGTCACCCATCCATAAGGTCTTTGCAATGCCCTGGGGGAGTTTGCACTGTCTATGAAATACTATGCTAAACAACCTAACATGTCTTACAAACACTTGCCTCGTGGCGCCCCGGCCAATCTTGAGCAGCTTACTGCTTCCTTACATTTCCTTATCTCTGGCCACAGGCCCCAACTACACCATGACTTACTGATGAAGTTAGCCTGGCCAGTGAATATGGTGTACTGAAGCTCATAGGAGCTGATGCTGAACTCATCATCCGAGATCCAGTGGACTGTAATGGTGTCATGGGAGGCAGTACAGAGTTCCTCTCGGATAGATGGTGGGTTTGGGGCTGTAAGGAAAGGTGGAAAAGAAGGTAAAGGAAAGCACACTCTCCGTTCTGCAAGTTTAACAATTGTTACTCTCGCTGCCCAACTCAACATCCCGTGGAGGGGAGGTTGTCTTAATTAGAAGCTTAGATAGCACATCCAGAACAACCTGAAGCAAAGTGCTAAGACTTCAAATTCCCCCAAACCGCTTTTGCTTCAGTGACAGAGACATTTTAGGCAAAGATCTAAGCCTAAGGTATTGAGCTGACTGCCTGGTTGTCTACTCTGCCTGCACCAATACATATGTAGATATTACACCAAAGTGGTCAAATGGTTTTCTTACTGCATGACCTTTGGCCTATTTCTTTTTATTTTCAAATAAGTTTTATTATAGACTTTTGGCAGTATAGCCAAGTGTAAATTAATATGAGTGGCTTCATCAGTAAAATAAGGGATGATAACTACCTCATAGATCGTTTGTACATGTTTATAATATAAAATTAACATAGAGTGGCATAAAGGAGATGTTCAATGAATGACAGATATTTTAATATATTAGCCAAAACAAGGACAAATGCAAAGCTATTGTATGTGTACATTTTTCTCACGAAAAGGTCATTCGATAATACTGAAGGTAGCCAACATTTTTAGGAAGCTGGTTGCACCCCTCATTTCCTAAAATTGTCTGCAATAAAGATATTTCTTACATTTTTCTTCCTAATATGCTAATTCCTAAATTTCTGTAAAACCATTTGAGTGGTACCTATAGCTATGCGGGACGTTCCTTAATATTCCATAATTGTCACTTGAGTTCTAACTCTCTCAATAACAAGCAACAATATATTACTGATAGGCTCGTAAGGAGAAATCCATCAGCAATGTCTTGTTTTTTCTTTACCTTTAAGTATAATGGTATACCCATCTGCCCCCAGAAATATTTGACACATCATCTTTCTTTTCTGTTACATGAACTAAAGTATATTCTATCTAAAAAGATGCATGCATTGTCTTAAAGGTTATAAAAGCATTTTCATTATAAATATTGCCCTTTTCCAATTATCTTACAATAAGAGAACACCAAAAGAAAAGCATTTAAACAGGAAGGAAACCACAGTATTCTCACACCTGTTAAATAATCTAGCCCCTCCAGCAGTTTCTTTTCTCTGGAAAAATCTAAAGCAAAGTTTTCAAAGGCATCATTAAAATTGATGTCTGGAATCAGAACTTGAGAAGATGCTGTTGCCATAGCGACCCTGGAAAAGAGAAAAGTACATCAATATACATCAAAATAGGTGTTCAACTTTTATCCAATGTTTGATTTCTGGTTCAACAAGGCAAAAATAAAGGACTCGTAGGGCTTGATTCATTAAGTGAAAAATATCATATCTGTGTTTTTCCAGGGGGAACCATTTACATTTTAATCATCAGGAACCAATTAAGGGTTATACCATATTTATTCACATATGTTCACCCCTCAAACACACTCTCCCATCCTGTCTTAATTTTGAGAAGTAAATACAGGATTTTTTCCCCTCTGCATCATTTTCCATCTGGCAGGCGGCATCAAAACTAGACCTCTGAAGGCTTGGTAAGAGCAGTTTGAGATTTTTTTTTCCTCCTCCTCTATCTTTTTATGCTAATCAGCAAGCCAGCATGCTGGGGCTGAATTAAAGCCTTCACTTAAATACTGTACTTTATTCGATCTTTTCTAGCATTTATGTTTAATTTTATTATTATTTTTTATTATTATATTATGCTATGCTAGTTTTTCTCTCTCCAGCTAGTTGGAAGCATCTCAAGAGCAGGGTTTGTATTTTGTACCTCTTATATCTTCCACAGTTCGTAACACAGTGTTGGACACACAGCAGATAAATAATTGTTGAATGAATAATGGAATGACTAACAGGCTCCCCTAGACCTTTTTTTAAAAAATTAAGGTAAATTTGTATGTGCTTCAGCAATTCTTAACCATGATTACACATCAGAATTATTGGGCGCCTGGGTAGCTTAGTCGGTTAAGCGTCCGACTTTCGCTTAGGTCATGATCTCGCGGTTCGTGGGTTCGAGCCCCGCGTCAGGCTCTGTGCTGACAGCCAGCTCAGAGCCTGGAGCCTGTTTCAGTCTGTGAATCCCTCTCTCTCTGACCCTCCCCTGTTCACGCTGTCTCTCTCTCTCTCTCCTAGAAATAAATAAAACATTTTAAAAAAATTAAAAAAAAAAAAAAGAATTATCTTGGGGAGTTTTGAACAAAACATACATGCTGAGGCCCTGTGACAGACCTTCTGAACTGGAGCCAATGAAGATCTTTGAGCATGCAAATGGCAGAGTGAAAAGAAACATCAACTTGGCAGCAATAAGCAGGTAGAATGAAGAGAAGAAGCATTGAATGTAAAAAGACCAGAGGAAACTTTTATGGTGAATTAGTTGTAAGGGGTTGAGGAGTTAAAGAAATGTGTATCCTCATGCATGTGTATCCTGCTATACTTCCACCAACAATAACTCATCGTTGTTTGCGAAATAGATGTTTTAGGAATAAACTGCAGGCCAGGATAAACAAATGAAAGGCTAAGCCAGTATAATCTTAAAGTCTCACTCTTTAAGCCATTCTTCCAGGATTTGATGAGTAAGAGGACAATGACCTCTTCAGGGCAAGAGTTAAGGTAGAAAATTGGCTCATGAAATTTTTTCCTGACCCCCCCCCCATCTTCTTTCTTCCATCCATCCATCCATCCAATACTTACTGAGTACAACTAATGTGCCAGGCACTGTGCTAAGCACTGGAGATACACAGCTGTGGTCCTTGCCCTCACAAAGTTCACAGTTCATGGAGGAGAAAGACATTAAATAGGCAATAGAAGTGCTCCTACAAAGGGAGTGTAACACACACAAGACCCACCTGACAAGGACTTGGGCACTAAGGGAACTCTCCCCAGAGGAAGTTCATTGTAAGCAATGACCCACACGATGAGAAGCAGTTAGGTAAGCAAAGACTATGTGGATGGATGTGTGTGTGTTCTCTCTTTCCTGAAGGCTGGAGAATTAGCAAAGTCACACAGGGCCTTGTAGGCCATGTTGCAAACTTTGCACTTTATCCGGAGAGCAATGTGGGCCACTGAAGCATTTTTAGGCAGAGTGATGCTCAAATTTATGTTTCAGAAAGAGAACTCTGGCTGCAGTGATGGGTTGGAAGGGGTCAAAATTGGAGGCAGATCAGATTTTAAGGTGTCTAAGAGTGAGAAGAAAGTAGTGACAGAAGGGTAGACAAATAATACAGAATGTCAATTCACACAACATGAAAATAAGTAGCCAACAAATATATTTAAAAGCCCAACTACTTGAGGAATCAAATAAATGTAAAATAAAATGAGATAGCATTTAAGATTAGAATTAATGACAATATAGGAGCTTTTTATGTCTATGTTCGGTAATGCCTCCATATTTTATCAGGACTAAAATTGACAACAAATTTTGAAAATTGATTTAGCGTTAAATACCAAAATAGTTTAAAATGCAAATATTCTTTGACACCACAGTTCTACATCATAAAGTTTTTACTAAGGAAATAATTGAGGTGTATGCAAAGATACAACTGTTTAAGGGCACTCAACACACTGTATGTAACCTAATTGTCTAACCACAGGGATTGGGCAAAGTAATGTGTTATACATCAAAAGATGGAATACTATGAGGCCGCTGAGAATCAGGTTATACAACACTATCCAATGACAAGGGGGCACCTACCTGGCTGCCTCAGCTGAGCATCTGACTTCAGCTCAGGTCATGATCCCACAGTTTGTGAGTTCGAGCCCGGCATCGGGCTTCATGCCAAGGGGGCAGAGCCTGCTTGGGATTCTCTCTCTCCCTCTCTCTCTGCCCTTTCCCTCACTCACATGCTTTCTCACTCTCTCTTAAAATAAATGAATAAATAAATAAAAATATTCAATGACAGGGACAAGTTCATGATATATTGTTAAGTTTCAAATGTAGGGTATAATGAAGTATAGACAGCATGACCTTATGTTTGTGCAATATATATTAAATATAAATATTGGGATACTATACTCCCAAATATTAACAGTGGCTGGAAGGATGAGTAAAAATGGCATGGGGTATATGTAAGAGTGTGTCTGTTTGTGTTTCTGTGTTTAATATGTTTAAGCAAAACAACATTACTTGTCTCTCAAGGCTCTGATCTCCATTAAGGACAATATAATAACTGTCAATATAATAAGTGGGAATACTCTCCCAGCTAAAATTTGACTTTAACTGAAGTTTTGGTCCTTAATATATTACCATTATTATTGGTGAGGGAGAATTTCAGACCGTATGAGAAACCATCGATGAAGATATTTAGGCTGGGCAGATAAGTCTCAAGATAGAAGAAAATGGCCTAAAACAAGAATCATAAAGAACAATAGCATTAAAGGAATAGGTCAAAGGAGATTTGCTCATAAAGGCAAAAGAAACCACACAGGTAAGGAGGAAACCGGAGTGTTTATGGAAGCTAAGGGCAGAGAAATTTAAGTAAAAATCATCAGTAGGGACAAGTGCTACTGAGTGATTAAGATGAAACAGTATGAGAAGACAAAGGAATGTCTATTATATTTAGCAACAAGGTTTTCACTTGGTGACCTGGGAAAGAACACTTGCAATACTGTGGTAGTGGCAGAAGATATTTCGGAGAGTTGAAGCGTGAGTGAGGATGATTAAATACAGTGGTTTGAAATTATATTTTTATCTCAGCTCTCATAAAATACCACTGAAATGACGGTCAAAGAATAAAATGTCATAAACCCACAAAGACAACGAGAATGGAAAAAGACATGCCAGCAAGTAAGAGACTGTCAACAAATGTTGGGAAGCTAGAAAGGGATGGATGAGTGGTAACCAACAACAGATCAGAAGAAGCTGGCTCAGGAAGCCAACAACATCAAGCTGATTTTGTGCCACAGACAGTTGGAAGTATATATGAAGAGCAGCTAGACCCCGGATCCACTGAATCAGAAGACTATTCCTCCTTCATCCTGGCAGCAGATGTGAGGTTTACTTTCTGCTGTACTAAAAGCAATCTTAAAACCCTCAGCAACCTTTCCTTGCTTGGCTCCTAGAATGGCGTCAGTCAGGCTTAGACCACTCACTCCTCATCAGAAGCAGGAGTTTCCTCCTTCCAGGGAAACTGACTGAAGAGAAAACACCTATAGACCTGACACTTGGGTTCCCTCAGTAAAAATCTGGCATTCCACCTTATTCTCCTATAATGAAATTCACCAAGCAACAAACTGTTCGCATCCCCTTGGATCTTCTAGTCATCTTCTAGTACTTAAATTCAAACAGTTAACCTAAAGATTATCGGACATTTGGGGAAAGTCAGAAACTAAAAGAAACCAATAGAGAAAAGGAACTTGGAAGAAACCAAAAACAATGCAGAGTTTAAAAGAAGCTTTTTTTAAAAAAATATTTTATTTATTTCTGAGAGAGAGAGAGCGAGAGAGAGAGAGAGAGAGAGGCAGTGTGAGCAGGGGAAGGTCAGAGAGAGAGAGGGAGACAAAGAATCCAAAGCAGGTTCCAGGCTCTGAGCTAGCTATAAGCACAGAGCCAGACGCGGGGCTCGAACCCATGAACCTGAGATCATGACCTGAGCCAAAGTCAGATACTTAACTGACTGAGCCACCCAGGCGCCCCTAGAAGAAGCTTTTTAAGTGATCACTCTTACCTTCAGTTTACAGCCACAAAGGAAGGACAGAATGAAAAAAAAAAAAAAGGTGCAAAGATCAAGAAAGAGGACTTAAAATGGAAATAAGAAAGCTGAGATTAAAACTATATTTTTTATGTTTATTTTTGAAAGAGAGAGAGAGCATGAGTGGGGGGAGAGGGGCGGGGGAGCAGAGAGAAAGGGGAGACACAGAATTAAAATCAAGCTCCAGGCTCTGAGCTGTCTGCACAGAGCCCAACATGAAGCTCAAACTCAGGAACCACAAATCATGACCTGAGCTGATGTTGGACGCTTAACTGACTGAGCCACCCAGGTGCCCCTGAAATTAAAATTTTAATAGAATGGTTGGGTGAAAATTAGGGAAACCTCTTAGATAATGGAACAAGAAGACAGTGTCATAAAAAATAGGAAAGAAAAGGGGCGCGTGGGTGGCTCAGTCAGTTAAGTGTCAGACTTTGGCTCAGGTCATGATCTCATGGTTTGTGGGCTCGAGCCCCACATCAGGCTCTGTGCTGACAGCTTGAAGCCTAGAGCCTGCTT